AAAAATATTTAGTTAGATTAAAAGATATATTTTTTTAATTAATCATGTTTTATTGGTTTCATCTAATCTAGTAATATATATTGATATATTGGGGGGTAAAAATTAATTAAAATTTTTAATAATAAACACTAATCTTTATTGCATAAAACAGTCTTATAAATAAAGATAGAAAACCCTTAACTCTACAAAATCCACCATTAGCCTCCTTAACCCACCTGACCACGAGCAGCAACTGTGTCCAGGGTACTCAAATAATAATGGTAAATTCCAACCAATTTAACTTAGCTTTAAAAACAGGAATACATTTTTCAACAGCCCATTTCTTTAAAAGGTCATCCATAGTATAAAATAATATTATATTATAATTGATTAAATGCAACACACTACTCACCAACAGCCTGCTCTAAATTAGAGTCGCTAAAATCACGTACACACAAAATGGAAAGCCCATTGGCTATCTGCAGTCGCGTGATTTACAGCAACCAATAAGAACCAAAGTATTCATGCAAGTCATGCTACTTCGATGTGAGAAAAAAGTTTAAATAAAAATCTGCTTTAAATTAAATCACAATTTTTTTGTATTTAAATAATAATTTGTTTAAATTAAATAATTAATTTTTTTAATTAAATTAAAATCATATTTTAAAATTAAAACGTTTTTTTAAAAATTATATTTATTATTTAATATAAATTTTTTAATTTTTTTAAAGAAATAAATTGTTTTTATAATTTAAGAAAGTCAACTTTTATTTAAACAGAAAAAGTGCAATTTTGAAATAAAAACCAGGTACTTTGTTTTAAACATATATTTTAATAAATTTGCTTTTTCCTTTTAAATAAAGACAATTATTATTTTTAAAGAATTGTTTTTGAATTAAATTTATATATTTTTTTAAGTAATAAATAAAATTAAACAAACATTCTAGTTTGAATTAAAACATGTTTTTTCTCTGTATAGTTAATAAATATAATTTGGTACCTTATATCTTGTCATTTTGCCAATATAGGTGGCAATTGTATTACATTAAATTTTACTTAAAACTTTGTTATTAATCTTTATGGATAAAGTGCAAAAGGAATTTTTTAAGATATCCATCAGTACCTATTTTTATCTTGTTGGCAAAGAGTAGTAGTTTTTAGATCGACAGGTGTTTCCCTCCTAATAAAAGGGTCAGCATGTAAACTTTCTTGGGCATGCGAGAGTTCGCCAGGTGCAAAATCCTCGTCGGGAGCGTCTTCTTTGAGCGGATGCAACTCGAGACCCGGTCCATTTTTGGCCACACTAGACGGCGAGTGGACCACCGCGAATAATCGAGAGTTTTGTATTAGCGTAGACATTGAAATTATGGTTGGGACGACGCGATATGTGCCGTGTGCACCAGGCTAAATCGAAACGATATTATAAAGATGCTTGTTCGAGTATTTGCAAATATTAGCGGGCGCGATGATTTCATCATTGGTGCATCAAACCCTATTATTTATGTGGTTATTGTAAAGAGTTATGTGGAATTTACTGTTATTGTTTTAGGATCAATATCAAAACCGGGTTCGCAGGAAACAACATTAAACATTGTCAATAAACATCAAGATATACACTACGCGAAACCTTTAACGTTTTTTTTTTAATTTCCAGTCTAAAGAACTAAACAGCAATACTATAGCTATAGAAAAATCAACAAAATATTACATTTTTAACTTTGATAATAAATTATTCCTTGAATGATAAATATGAAATAATGATTGCACTGTTTTTGACCGATAATTTTTTTTTACTTAGGCGCTGTCCATAAAGTACGTCACACCTTTAGGGGGAAGGGGGTTTACCGTTTGTGACGAAGTGTGTCATGTGGGGTCTGGATCGTCACAACCAATAAAACTTTTGTAGTTTTTTTATAATTTATTTATTTTTATTTTTCTGAATGTTTTTATTTTTAATAAATTATTTATTATTAATTATTATTGATTAATTGGAATATTCTATGTTTTTTTAAACTTCTATATTTTAAAGTTCATTTTCCTATTTAAACATTTTGATTTTTGTCAACCCTAGGTGTAAAGGTGTTTTGTAATGAAAATATTTATTATATCAAAGAGCTTAGGTACAAGGAGAGAACTACAGTTATCCTGTAGTAAACGCTTGTATAATAATAATTATTATTATACAAGCGTTTACTATACTTTTTACTATAATGATTCCCAAAAGTTTTGGAAACACACAAGAGCTCACTCTCGAAATTCCCAAGCTTTGATTTATTTGATTTTTCCTATTTTCATTTCTTTCAGTGTAGTAAGGAATAACTAATAAATAGTAACATAATACAATTGTGGATTTACTTAAAAACGTATAAATAGGCCAACTATTACTCCTTTGCGGTCAAAGCGTTAGTGACCAACTTAATAATTTGCAATGACACTGGAACATGTGCAGTAGGTTACCTACTGTAGGTATCAAACAAATTGTTTAAAAAAGACCTTTAAAAAAATCTTATTGTGACGTGTGACCGAAACTTTGTGGCAGTATGTGTCAGGGGAATTATTTGATATTTCAATCGTAAAAATGGTATAAATTGCTCAAAAAAATTATTATATAATTTTAGGGCCTCATTATTTTACGACATTACTTTTATCTTCAATTGGTCTATAATTTATACGAGTATGTTATTGTTGTCAACACTCGTTACTAAACTCATTGATGGTGGTTTTTACAACGTAGCGATTCAAATTTTATTATTTACTACTTTGGGCCAATAAAAAAATTTGACTGTTGTTGGATCTACCTAACCTCACTTTTAACAAAAAGCGTGCCTTAAATATAAAATTTTGTACTAAATTCGGCCAAGTATCTTTTTGTGGTTCGCTTCAAAAATTGAGCTTAGCACAAAAAGACTTACTTCTTGACCTTATGGCATAAATTACTATTATTTTATTTAATCATGATAAGTAAACTATGGACGAAAAAATAATTTGAACAATTATAATTTAAAATTTTTGATTAATCTATAGTAATTTTTCTACGCCTTATAACAAAATGGAGGCAATTCTAATTTAGGTCTTAGCGGGTCAAACACTCAAACCACATTAAGTACCGCCGAACATTTACTGACTAAATTAATTTGGTTTTAGATTTTATATAAAATAATTTTTCAAATGAGGAGGTTATCTGCAAAATGCAACTTTCACTCTTCACACAAATTTACCTATTTCATGATTGGCCCTTAAACATCAGACAATATACAAAATTGTATATAATTGGACAATATTTTGACATAAGTTAGTATTTTAGTATAAGGAAAATAACAGTTTATTGTTTGGTAAATGCTTCAGTGGTAATTTGGAAACGAGTCAAATTTGGTCTAGAGTAAAAGTTGCAGGTTGCAGATCGGATCACCTTTTTAAATGTGAGCCCACATTTTGCGCAGGCTTGAGGCTTAGTCATTTAATCAAAATACGCTAATTGTACACTCACGAATGCAGGTTCACATATGAAATTATATATGAGCCAGCATGGAGTGACTGTTTGCTTCTGCGCGTGTGCATTCGGCAAAAAATTGTTAATCGGTATATATTGTAATGAATTGAGGAATCACGCAACCCTCAATGTAAAAGAACGCGGTTGGCTTAAACCAGCGCGCTGCAGCGCGTGCCGATACTAAGAAGATACTAGAAAATTGCGAAAAATATACATATATTTTTATTAAATCTATTAAATTTGTCTATAATTTTTTATTGAACTTAAATCAAATATTCTATATGAATATTTATTACAAAACCTTATTATAATTTTATGAAATAATTTGCTAGGACCTAAATTTGGAATAAAATATACTTATTTTTTTGTCGTTTGTACAGAATTCCTATAGATTATACGATAATACACTTTACCATAATGTTCATATATTTATTGATGTATTGATAAATGTAAGAGTAGATTTTCGTATAATTTATAGGAATTTTGTATATGTTTTAACATAAATTAAATTTAATGAAGTAATTTAAATAAATACATGAAAAAAATTAAAAAAATAGTATTTTTGCTTAATGAACAATAACTGAACAAAAAATTATTTGCTATGCTTCAAAACATTTTTTGACATTGCTCTACTACGATTTTTCGCTAGGATAAAGCTTTTTGAACTTTTAAACACGTTTCTTATCCTTTAATTTTACGCAAAATGTATGTAATATATCGTATTTGGTTTAATTTAGTAACCAACTCCTCTTAAAGGTGTGGTTTTTGTTATGGGATATAATTTTTAAACTTAAATTGTGGGCAGCAATTTTCTTTTCGAGTAAACGAGAAACAAAAACTCCCACACAAGACCTAAATCAAGTCGAGGTGTTCTAAATACTTATAAATTTGGTTTGAATTGTACCCGTTTTAACAATGTTGCGTCTCCTACCCACACTTGGTATTAATGCACAAATTTAAATTCCAATTTTCCAGTTGCACTACTTGGCTGTTATACAATTTAAATTCTAAAATAAGTTTAAAAATAAATATTTCATAATTCATCTTAATACTCTACATCTGTTTATACATTACGTTTACATTAATATAGATAAAACAATAAGATTTGGCAAAAAAGATGAAAAGAAATCAAGCGAGCGATAAGTTCGATCATATTTATTTCCATTAGTCAATCCTGTTTAAATATCAAGGGCAATGCTATTCCTGCCTAAAGGTTGTATACCAGACAAATTGACATGTTGTTTGCGTTAGATTTACAGTGGCATACGTGCATAAAATTGCTTCGCTCTCCTTAATTTATGATTGGGTAACAGCGTATTTAGATATCGGAGCCCGGCTAAATTATTGGCAAACCTATTGTCGCGTCCAATGCTTATTAAAATACTATACGTGTAGTCGCAAATTCGTAACCATCTAATCGACGTACGTAAAACATTCGGTGCGACATTTTTTCGAATTTCCCGCCAATCGACAATTGCAAAAACGTGGAAATGTTATAAATAACTTTGTGTGCAACGCCTCTCAGTGAATTATGGGCTTGCTTCTATCGGTTTTGGTGGCGTGCGTGGGATTTGTCGAGCTACTCGACTTCTTCTACAATGTTAGAAGAAATTTGGTTCCTGCGGAGAACCCAGGTACACTTCAAACATTCGTAAAAGACATTGACACTGGCAAAGGAATAGACGTTACGGAGGTCGATGACGATCGAATACCTCGCGTGAGATTAGACCGAATTCTCAGTCACGAAGACATCGAAATAGAATTCAACAAAAACGTCCTTGAAAACCGTTCAAGTTCAAATTTACAAAAACGTTACCTTGTCACCGAGAAGGAAGAAAAAGTCAGATCTAGAACGCCGTCGCCAAGACGATTTGTGGTTACCGAAGAATCCAACGGTTCACTACAAAGATCAAACCACCAAAACTCAATACCAGAATTTTTATTTCAGGAAAAACAAAATGGAAATGCATCTTCTACTAATAAACGAATAGTTCTAAAAGGACAAGAAGAAACAGGTAGGAGCTCGCCCATACCTCTACCTCTCCCCAAGCAATTTGTTGTCACTGAAGAAGTATTAACCCACTTACAAGCCCAAAAACCAATACCAAATATAGAAATTCGCGACAGTGTTTGCGAAGCAATATCGCACCAAGCAAATCCATCAATTGAACAAAAAGAATTGTTTATAAACACAGAAAACAATGAGGTTAGAATATTTGAAACCACCTCAGCAAAACTCGATCAATTTCTTACAGCAGAAAGACTATCACCTGCTAGATCCAGGTCACCATCACCAATCCCGAGAAAATATGCCGAGGCTTTCAGACGATCTCCATCGCCATTCCCATCGTTTGAGCTTATGGCACCAAGAAACAGTATTTGTACTGAATTACTGGATAACCCACCTGTAAGCGTTATGGAGGTAGACGAAGAATGTTATAGATCCAAATCACCATCACCAGAAAATTACATTGTTGAACACACCAATAACAATACTGTTGAATATAGAACAAATAAAGTAAAAGTGACTACGCCTGAAAGATCCAAATCTCCAAATACAACAGTTGTCAGTGCTTTAAGTGTCCCTCAGGGAACTCGTTCTAGATCTAAATCTGAATCAGATAGCAAGGACTACAATTTCAATACAGGCGCAGTAAAAAAGGCAACGTCTCAAAACCAAGTTACAATTGAGGAAGATTTTAGCAAGAGAAATTCTGAAGATGTTATGTACGACGAATCGTTTTTAAATGAACTGGATGGCGTCAAAAGTAAACACAAAGGTAGGAACAGGAAACAAAGAAGGAAATCAACGCAAAAAAATAACTCGTTAGGTAGGTTTATTATTTTCTGTTTAGAAAGTTTTAGTTAACTTTTAAAAATTTATAGATAAACCGAGTACTTCTACTCAACAGACAACTACTTATGATAATGAAGGGAAAAAGAAAGAACCCGAACCGTTTTGGGTAAATCAAAAAAATTCATAGACTTTGATTAGAGTGGTAGTTTCTTTAGAACCCTGATTGGTGTTTAGCCTTTAGCTTTTTTTCTAAACAAGTTTAAACTGGACACACTTGTTACTTCACTTAAATTACTAACTTTTTTCTTTGTTAGGAAAAAAGAGATCACGTAGAAGCATGCTCTGTATTCAAAAATAAATTGCACTTATTTAATAACAAACGTATTTCGGCATTTTTAAATTATTGCAATTTTAGAATAATTTGTTAAAAACTATATGATAAAAACATACAAATTAATTACGATGCTTTTTGGAACGGTTTCAAAGATTCGGTTTGATTGCAAATGCATATTGATTTAAACATTACTTAAAATGTTTTAGTTTACTGCACTATTACACAAGTTATACAGGGTAAATAATGGTGCACTCAACATTACAAAATTCGGTAAATACCCAGCGATATTTTTAATATTGCCATTGCAATGAGGGCATCCAGAGTGCGATTCATTCCGAGTTATTTTAACTTAAATAAAACGAATGTTATTAATAGTTTTTTTAATATTGTTCTTAAAGTCATTTTTTCGCTTAGACCATACAAATGGTCAAAGTTTTTCGGATGTAATACCACGAGTGCTTAAACAATACCGATAATTTTCATCAAAGCGCTTGAATAAAAATTACCATTTTTAAGCAAAAGCGTTATTTGGAGAGAATATATCTTGAGTAAAATACCTACTAAAAATACAAAAAATGTTATATTTATTCAAACAAAATTAACAAAAATATAATATAGTTATTGCAACCATATATATTTCACCATGTTTCTTCTTCTTGAATCTTGAATCACCCAAAACATTTATCTTAACGAGTTTTGTGCAAAACCGTAGAAATGGTAAAAACTGGTTTTAACGTTTTTGTTCACGATACAAAAAAACCGTTCTCATAGCAACGTGGTATTTCCAACAGTAATACCAACAGTAATTTACCGATAGAAGATGCGTCTTATTGATAATACCTTTGTTATAAATATATTCCCGAGATACCGATTTTTCTAAAATGGTATTTTTATTTTTGATCTTATCATAAAACAAAATACTATTAAGTATAGACATTTTTATGACAAGCAAATTAATACAAAAATATACAGATAATTATTTTTGACCAAAAAAGTCCACTGATTAAAAAAAAGTAAAATGAAAATTATGTATACAGCTGACTTTCATTCAGGGTTACTTTTGACCATACGATAGTTGTTATGTCATTTAAAAAGAACGGTTTTAGTTACGGTTGTTAATGAAATGGTTATTCAACGTGGAACACACTATATACGTGAAAATACATTAACTACTCTCAAAATCTAAATTAATCAAAAATTACTAGTTATTATAGTAAAAAAGCAGCCACTTATAACTGTGGTACACAGCAATTTTTATCCCGGACATTTAGCAGTCAATTCTTATGTAAAATTGTCCCTTAAATCCAAAAATACCGTAAACAATTATAAAAGTAGAGCAGTTTTTGAGATATAGTCAAATCTATATCATATGGTAAATTGATTATAGATATATCTTAAAAACTGTTCAACTTTTATAACTTTTGATGACATTTTCGGAATCAGCGGACAATTTTACATAGGAATTGACTTTTAAATGTCCGGGATAAAAATTGCTGTGTACCACAGTTATAAGTGGCTGCTTTTTACAATTAGTAATTTTTGACTAATTCATTTTAAGAGAGTAACCATTTACTATTTTTCCCAGATAACATTCGTGAATACGTTTAGTTAGACCAGGAGTACAGCGTGAAACTTCAAAAATCAACGCACCTTAAATTTACTGCATTCCCGGATAACATTCGTGCACGTGTATCACGATACACGTTTAATTCACACCGGGCACAAAAATGAATGGTCCATTAATTCACTGTGAGCATACTCAGAGTTGCTGTTTTGTATTCAAGTTTCTTAAAATTGAAGACTGAAAAAAAGAATTTAACATAACATAACGCATCTTTAGCATTCACGGTGAATTCACGAATGTTATGTAAATACTAGAACAAATACCAATGTTTGCATAATATTCTTCAGCCAATCTTCGACAATTATTTAAATCCAAAAATGGAAAGATAATTGAGGCGTGGAAGTACCAAAGGGGGTATGTGCCATTTTTCGATAGATAATTTGCTCATTTAAAAAAATATATGTTTAAATTATATATCCTTTATATTTGTAATAAAAAGGAAAATACGCCATTTACCAGTAATTGATCAAATTACTCAAGTTTTGTTATTAAACGTCGAATGTTGCTTATGTTGGATAATTACCATGACTAATTTTTAAAACTACAATTTTGATAAAAAAAATTAACAATTTGCACCCGCTGTGTAATCCTACAGTTCTGCATAATAGTTTGAAACTATTAAATTGAAAGAAACAATATTATCGGAATTGCAAAGAACTTGGCCATCATGTGCAGTTTGAAATAGAACAAATTTATCAAATATTGCCTGATTTATTACAACAACGCTACACAAATACTTTTTCAATGCAACTTAAAAACGAATATAAATTGAAAAACATTTAATTTTTTCTTACTCTGCATCTTAATACTCCTGCCGACTTACCTTGTATATCTTTAAATTAATTAAAATAAAATTTTTATCTGAAACTAAAAAAATCAATTAATAATGTTTAACATTTACACTTGTTTAGATAAATGGGTCAAACTAACCATAAATAAATCTTAAAAATAAAGTAACATTTGCTAGTGATTGATCTAAATATAAAAACACAATTCGCTTGTTTTAAGTAAAATTCAAACAAACCAAAAAATCAAAGTATTTTTAAAACACAGCAACAGTTCGATTTGTTTAAATCGTAAAGTTTCACAAAAGACCACTGCTTCTGGCAAAGCAATGATTTTTTCAATCTTAAATCAACCGTCTATTTATAAACGTGACAAATAAAGTTTAAGAGAAAACATTTTTTATTTTATTCAATTACCTCGTTGTAATAAATCATTGATAACGTCGTAAAAAAGAATAATATTAATATGGTAAATGCTACAAACGTCGCATATTTATAAAATTATGCAATATGTTTATTTATATAATTAACTTGCATCTGGTATTTAAATTATGACAAATTACGTTAGGTGCACCTAATGCGTTAAATATGTTATAATATGTTTAATTATGTAAAAATATTATAATGTATAAATAAGAATATTTGTTTGAATAAATGTTTGATTTTGAGAATTTATATTAAACGTTTATATTATACCTAAGTTAGTATTAATTGTATTCAAAGTGACTTACTGTTACAAATTGTATAAAGTGTTTGGCGTCCAATTTTGATTTGCGTCAAGTGTTCAAATTTTGGTAACGGCCCACCTCAAAAAATTAAAGCTTAGAAGAGAGAAGAGGCAAGAGATTGCACGCGGCACCAAGTTCCATATCATTTTCTAAAAATACCGAATGGAACGGCTTTACACATTTTACCCAACTAACAGAAATCAGTCGCCGCAGGCCGATCAAACTGTGTGAGAGTGAAATTTTGAAGAGAAAAATTGGAAAAAAACAACCCTCGAAATGGGAGACGTGGACGCCTATCAAAACTTCACCGTGACCAAGAAGACCAAAAAGGTCAAAAAGACCACTAAGACCAGCGGCGATGGCAGAGAGGTCACCATCACCGAAGTCGAAAGGACCAACGGCAACCAGGGGTATGTGAATGGCATTCCAACTGCAGAAGACCAACTACATCCACAAATATTACCCAAACAATATTCCCAGTGTTTAAAGTGGAAGTGTACGCTTTATGCATCCTTTAAGTTTCCGTGAAAATTTTAATCCAAAAAACGTTATTACGTAAGATAAATAATTTCAGGAATTTATTTAAAGCATATCACGCATTAGCTTATGCATTTATTAAGAAGGCAGGTCAGTTACCTGCTTAAACTATTTTAAAACACACAGAACAAGTGCTCCATATGTTTATATTTCCAGACTAATATCTCTATAAAGATGGAGGATCATATATGTTTTCTAAATTTAGCAGCCTCACTTTGCACAACTACTAAATAATTTTAAACCCAACATCTTATTCAGATGATCTTAACATAAATACACATTTTACCCATTTTGTTTTCATTATTGTTTATTTAATTTTAATCCGTAAAAGAAAAAATGCTTCACCAAAATTACTTTAAATAAAGTTGAGGCATTTTTTAAGGTTATTTCCCAGCTTAGCTGCAAGAGTAGCTTAACAAAAAAAAGTGGCTTTAAAGTAAGTGCACTTTTGATATTGCAATACTGAATCGTTTCGGCTCGCGGTCTAGTAGGAAGTGTATAAAATTGTTGTGCCAATCTTACAGTCGATCAAACACCCATTTTGTCAACTTACTTAAAACATAATAATCTCAAATTCCCCAAATTTTGAGTTGTGTTACTTTTGCAGCCGAGGTGCAATATGTCATTTCATATGTAATATAAATAACATAATAATGAAGAACAAATTCTAAAAATACATTTTAGATTTAAATTTCATAAGGCAATGTGTTATTTAAGAAATAGAGATGAAGATTACGTATATGCCAACATTAATAATAAACGCTTTGTTATTAATGTGTCAATAATTATTATTATGCAAATTTAATACAAATGATTTTTGTTAAAACAAAATCAGGTCTGCTATTTAATAATATCAGTACAATAAAGGGTAATATTGAGAAACCTTGTGGAACACTTTTATTAATATAGGCCCACTTAAAAATAAACTTATATTTTCGAAATATTATTGCATAACTTGATTCAATATAACCTGGCTATGATTAGTAGCCGAAAAATGTTATGTTTGGGCGTGCTTTACTTTAGATTTAAATAACTTGAAATTAATTAGGACCAGATAATTTTGCACGTACACTTTCATCTAAAAACACTGTACAGAATCAGTTCGTAAACGACAACAGAAGACATGCCATCACATACCCCTGTGTTCACTTAAGGTACTACTTTAAATACTTAACAGCGTACATTTTTTTCTTATATATTTGCGTGTTATGTGCCGTGGGAATGTGTTGATTTTTATTCCAGTTTACCCTGTGCGAGTGTGTAATGTTTTAAGTATGTTGTTTGTGATGTTTTTGCCAAGATTTTTAAAAGACAAGAGGTCTGTCTCATCAAAACAAGTCTTGTTATTAAGTTTTAATTATTTTATGTAATTTAAATAAAGTATACTAGTTTTAAGTATGGCTTAAGTCATCGATAATAATAAATATCCACTATTTTTATTAACATATTAATGAGAATTGTAGTTTTTTATAAGCAAAATGTATGCAAACTCTGGGTGTAATTTCGTCAAATAAAGCCTTGGATAATCCCTAGTTTAAAAAATAACATTTACATTTTTAAAAAAATAACTCAAACAAGTCACCTTCTTTGACTTGTCAAGATTGTACTTACATTAATATATTACTTCAACATTTTTACAATAACATTGATAAAATAAAATTTTATAAAAACAAATGTAAAATATAATACATTTTACCATACTTATTTCGATAAAAAATATGAATGATCATTTTTATTAATTAATTAATTAATTTCACAAATTCACGAATTCCCGTAGGGATAGTATATTCACCTACCTTTAAATTTACTAGACGGATAACTGTCAAAGTTACAATTGTTAACATAATTGTAACTATGGCAATTAAGCATTGGGTAAATTTATTGGAAGGTATAGTGGCCCGTATATTTATCAAATATATTCTTGTTTCCAAATTTTTGTCGCTAAGATGTCCAACTTGTTGGTAAACCTGACGTTTAAACTCTCCGCATTTACGTTGGAATCACTCAAAAATGCAAATTGATTACAAAGTTCACGAACAAATCACGAAATTTTACAAAATCATCAAACATGGCGATAACGAGTCTTCATTATTTATTTTCCTGACCAAATATTTAACTGATAATTAAATTTACTTAACATCAAAATATTGTGAGTTTGTGACTAGAAAAATGTAATTAAAAAACTTCAAGTTTCTGGAAACTCACTGCAAATTGTCTATTGTTTTAAATTACTACAACAATTTTTTTCAGCAATTTCCGATTTTCCAATTTTCATTTAAAAAGACCGAAAATTTGCCGAATAATCCTTTTAAGTCTTCCCAAAATAAAAGAGTATCTACCTAAACTTTTTTGTCTTCTATATTTAATCGATTACACTGTACGGAGGTGAAAATATCACAGCTAAACGCTCGGACACGTAAACTTAATTTTTGGTCGTAGATTACAAATCCGTGCTTGGTTTAGCTGTATCAGGTCAAAATTCAAAGATATTGGAAACACCCTGTATAAATTTAAACAACCTGTATAATTAAAAAAAAATTAAATTTGGCGGGACCCACTCATCAGTTCCAAATTTAAAAAATAACAAATTCTTGCAAAATTTGAAGTTAATTGATCAAAAGATACACGTGTCCCTAAGGGTTTTTCTAAGATAATTTAGAAATTTTAAAATGTTTTTTTGCTGATTTCTTTTTATTCAGTATAATTGAGGATATTATATTAAATCTACGTCCAAAAATTATGTTTACGTGTCCGAGCGTTTAGCTGTGATATTTCAAAAGCTAAAAATTTACCTACAGTGTTATCTATTAGTCGGCGTTAGCTACAGTCGGCATTAGGCTAATATATCTTTCGAAAATCCTGACTAGTGAATTCACAGAAAAATAATGATCCAAATTCATTTTTGTATCTTTAACTAAATAATTTTCGAAAAATTACGATTCCATTCATTGGAATATATTTTCGGAACTTAAAAAACTCCAAAAAAGTTTCGTGGTTTGACACCCCCTATTTATTTTGTAGGTATAAATTTATGTCTTTAATTTGTACCTATTTATAACATGAGAGCAATGTTGTCCGATTTGACTTAAATTTTGCATAAGGTACTAAAAATAGGCCTCTTTTTAACATTTGCCTATTAAAATTAAAAATTTTTAATTTTTTTGTTCGCCTCTGCAAGGTTTTATAAAAATTAAAATATCTAACAAAACTTCTACAAAAGCTGGAGGTAAAATTTTGTCATCTATGTAAAAAGCAATAAATACGGCCCCAGAAAAATATATTTTAGTCTTATTTTAGTTCTTAAAAATGGCGGAATAAAGGCAAACACATAAAAAACTAAAAAACTCTTATATAGTTGTAATTTATGCCCATAAAAAATATTCACGGGGATCAAAGAATTGAAAGTGAGCCGTAAATGTGGCCCATTCTTGTAATGCCAACTTGTACAAAATATAAATAAATTTTAAATGGAATGACCGATATATTTGATATTTGGCAAAATTTAAGTTACCAACATACTTAACATATTTCCAAATTTTATGTTTTGAGCTTAAATAATTTTAAATTTATTCAATATACAGTGCTTTCAACTTTATAAAAATGTTTTTTAATAATTTCATAAACAAAATATTTTTCACTACACCCTAATTTTAAAATGCAAGTAAAAATTATAAATTTCTTATTTTTTTTCAAAGCCAATGCAACTACAATGATGTTTATAAAGCCTTGGAGAGGCAAAAAAATGACCCCGCCCCCTAAATAATTCCTTAAATATTTTTTTTCTTAAACTTTAATTGGAACATGTTTAATATAGTCCTATTTTAGTACCGTATATTAAATTTAAACCAAATCGGGGAGGTGATGTTCAACATTGGTCCCATTTGAGAAAGAATTACCCTTATGAAAATTAAAACTAAAATATCTACAATGTAGATATCTACAATGTAGATTCTACATTCTTGGCAGATTATTAAAAACTTATTCAATATCAATGAAAATTATAACATAATTTTATGAGTAAATACATTAATCATAAATTATTTTTGTATGCTACCTACACCGAAACGTTCCAAATGAACTATTTTAAACAATCGAATGACGAATACAACATAAGTACATTAAAAACTGTTTAAATAATAAAAAAAATTATTAATAAAAATAATGTATTTTGGTCAATTTTGTTACTACATCTTTAAATGCATTTTCCTGCAATTATGTATGTATACACTAATTGCCAATTTTTAATATTTTGGCGTAGGTTCAAAACCAAATTAAATAAATATTTTTCCACTTTTTGTTGATTTTATTTGTCTAATATTCTTTTATTTTGATATCCAATTAATATAAAAAGTTACCAATATAAAATTTGTTGTGTTGTTATACCAACGAGTTATAATGTTACAAATTATTTATTTTTGTTTACACTAAAGGCACAACTTTCCTTATTATTTAAATTATTATAATAATAATTTTTTTTGCAGCTTATTTTCAGTGGTGAATACACCAAAGCGATGAACAAAGACTGGCACGGTCAACATTTTTGCTGCTGGCAGTGCGATGAGAGCCTCACTGGTCAACGTTACGTCTTGAGAGACGAGCACCCTTACTGCGTGTCCTGCTACGAATCGGCCTTTGCCAACGCTTGCGAAAAATGCAGCAGGATCATTGGAATTGACTCCAAGGTAACTAAAGACAATACTTTTATTACATTTTTTTAAGTTCTCACGAACTGATTGCCCCACCAAAGATAACATTCTTCAGGCAGTTAGGTATACTAAGCCTGAGTTGGCAATCTTTACAATGTTAAACCGAATAAAAGTAGACTTTTTAAGAAAATTTTAATTACTTAACATCTTAATTAGAGTTATATTCATCTACATAATTTATTTGGCAGTAGTTATAAAAACGTTTTATCTACCTAAAACCCTGCAGGGACTTAGCTAAGGTTTGCTTGTAAAAACTGATTAATTGTCTTTTTATGTCTTTTTAGACAGAAGATTTTGTTTTGCCTTGAAAAACAATTTAAACACTGTTTATAAAACGAGTTGCATACTATACTTTATCTACTCCCATTGCATAATATTGGGTTTTTCCATATATAATCATAAACATAATATATGTCCTGCTACATCAACGAAAATAATAAACTCATTATTTACGTTGGTAGGTATAAGTGATGGTCCGAGTTCAATATTTACTATGATTTGAACCAATCGGGTTTTAAGTTGTGAGAAGGCGACTATAATAATATTTAAAATTGGTAAAAAGTGTGGTTAACCATTTGACAGATGTTAGCTTATGTTCATTTATTTTGAAATTCATTTAATTATCTATTTATTGGAGTGATAAAGTATAGTATTACACTCAAGATTATGCGCATTCTTCACTCGGGTGATTTGAGTCTCGTCTGGCGACGCACACTTCATCCTCGTGAATAAGAACCTGCATTACATCTTGTATAATAATCGACAACAAAAAGTAATGTTTTTCGGAATTTTATTTCTTAAACATTTAACATCTGACATACGTCAGACGGTTTTAACCCCACTTTTTTTAAATTTATAATGTAAGTTCAGCCAGTGACTAAAACGCCATAAAGTCACAACTTGTCACAAAAAACCATAAATGTATATTTTTTTCAACACCCATTTCATTTCTTAACTTCAACCGGTGGCCGAAATTCTACAAAAGCTTTAATTTAAAATTGGAAAATAGTATGGTTAAAACTGTTTGACAATTGTCAGATGGCAGATAAAATATTAAATAAAATTGGCTTTAAATTTATTGCGGTATTAGAATAAAATATTGTGTCAAATTGCAAACTCTACTTTTGAGGAATCTCTTTTTCTCCCACTAGTCGCACAATATACTTTTTATACATGAACGAAAAAATGTCAGTATTTTTTTCAAGAAATGAGAAATTTATTTGCAGAAATAAAAATAAGACCAAAATATAAAAAATACCCTGCAATCATAATAAAAACAATTCAAGTCTGAAATTTAAACTAAAAAAAAGTTACTATTTAGATAGCTTTTAAATTTTAATTCAAAATGTAAATATTTTTTTCTTTAGTTAGGTATATTATTTAAGTAAATTAAAAAAATTTAAGACATCTAACTATTTGTTAATTACACCGTCAGCTTTATAAACACATTTTGGAAATATGCCAATGAACTCGAACTTAATTCTATGAAAATAAAAATCTTCGATGATTTATCGTTACGTTTTTATTCAGGATTTTTATTATTACTTAAAGCTATTTTAGAATAAGGTTAAAGAAGTAAAATCTGCACCATCATCAAATACATTTATACATTAAAACGTTAAAACCATAATCGTAAAAATTGTTATTACTGTACATTTACATTAATACTCAAGAACGCGAAATTAAACTTTTAAGGATTTTATCCTTGTCCTGTCTGTTAATAATATATTTTTTTGTAAATGATTCTGTTTTTCATTTATTTATATAACAAACTTAACTTTATCTAAAAACACTTTTTTTTAAACATACATACATTGATAAAGTTAAAAGTGTCTTTATGAATCTATGTTAGAATAGAACTGTAAAAAATGTTTTGCAATTTTACTATCTTTAATAAACTTGTTAAACAATTTTTGTGGAATATTTAAGAAAATACCTACATATAGGTAGATAAGTACAAGATTTTATAATACTTTTTTTTTAGGATTTGTCTTACAAAGACAAGCATTGGCACGAGGCGTGTTTCCTCTGCACCACCTGCGGTGATTCCTTGGTCGACAAGCAATTTGGATCCAAAGGTGACAGGATCTATTGCGGACGTTGCTACGATGAACAATTCGCTTCCAAATGCGATGGATGCCACGAGATCTTCAGAGCCGGTAAGTAGAAAAACCAAATATTTAAGGTGTTCAAATAAACCTTACAGATACTTCATTTGCTTTATATGTCCTGGTCAATTAAGAATAGTCAAAGAACACTTGTTTGATGTTTTTAGTCGGTATTATGTTAATATCCCTATTAAGTTTTATTACATAAAATTATAAAAATTTTGGAACTTCATAATAAATAACAATTTATTACTTATAAGTAAAAATATATAAATATGAAAATTTAAGCATTATTTGTAAGATGTAAGATATTAAAACATATAAAATGTTAATAATTACAACTATTATTTAATTAAAAAAAAGAAAGCAAATATTTGGGTCAGAATTCGTGAAATCATCATAACATTTTTGATGCAAATGAGCCTGCTTTGCAGTTTTGCAAAAAAAGATTTTTGAGAAATGTATAAACAATTGAATTTCAAAAATTTGCATGGATCTACCGATTTTGACAGAACCGGGCTTAAATTAAAGAAAATTAATTAGTCTATTAAATTATAAAATAAAATTTAAATCTTTTTTTACAAATTATTTATAAAAAACATTTTTATTATGTTCAATCCATTTAAATATACAGATCCTTAAAGTGCTGGCAATCTTTTTACAAAAATTTTACAAAATTAAATTACAGAAAATTTTTGTTTAGCTTACACCCGTATGTATAGTCAATAATTACAGATAATATTTTGTTAATGTTTAATGCCAAACAAATTTAAGTACTACGACAGTAAGAACTACAAAACTGCATACATATATATATATATATATATATATATATATATATATATATTAATGATTTTGAATTCAAATAAAAACCAAGCATTCAAACCAATTCAGCCGAGCGCGGCTTCGACTCAGGCGCGGAGTAAAAAATTAATAATGTTTAAGGTGAGTATAAAGTATAAAAAAATTTAAAAAAAAAGGTTTTTTATTTGTATATAAAAATAAAGGCCTATAAGTCCTGAAAATTTCACTAGGTAACTTTTAATATTTTTTTCACAATTAATTTTTTAATTAAAAGTGACAAAAATCTTTGTAATAAAAAAACTTTGTTAACTGATAAAATTAAAATTAAAAAAAATATATATTTTAAGGAAATATTGTTACTAATGACTACTAACCATTGATATATTAAAATTTAAATTCTATTACCAAGTGGAAAATGGGGAGTGACTCTGTGTAAGGGTTTTTAGTTATTGAGGTTTAAAAATTGAATTTTATTTACCGTATTTGAATTTTTTTTAATATTTATTTTTGTATAAGGATTGATTAAAATTTTAGAATCCCTCTGTATATGCCTTTGAAAAATTAAATAAACAAGATTTATTTACCTTTTTTATTTTTCGTTCGCCAAATCAATTGCAATTTAATAAACAATTTCACGAGCGCGATAAAAAAAATAATTTAACGGTTTCTTATAACTAAAGCTTAATTTTCATGTATCCGTTTGTCCGTTATCCGTTTGTCCGTTATTTAATAAAATCGTCCCATAAGAAATGTTCTAATTTTCATGCATTGATTTGACGACAAATTAAATTAAGTGTAAGTATTTTCACTTTACCAAATTTACCTAATGCTTAATTGTAATATTTACAATTATGTCAACAATTGTAACTTTAACAGTTAGCTGTCTAATAAATTTAAAGGAAGGTAAATATACCATATAAAAAGAATATACTAGCCTTAATGTACATTAAAATGTATAGTTTTAAAAGAACAGGTCCTTTTAGTGGTAGTTTGAATTTTTTTTTGTTTGTCTTTTCTTTTTTTCCGTTATTCTTAAATAAAAACACAACCGTAGAACATTATTCACATAACGAACGTAATATTTCCGTTCTAAAATCTTATTGAAAAAATATAAAAAGATTTGAAAATAAATGATCTTAAAATAACGTCAAAAACAGATGTGTAGTGACGGATGAGTTAAAATTATTTAACCTTTCTCTGTCAGACGTGCGAAGTTGAAACTTGACGGACCGATAAAATGTCATAATTTTCCAATTTTAATTGGACCAATAAGAGCGCTCCCGGATGAACGGACAAACGGATACATGAAAATTAAGCTTTAAACTTAAACTGTCATAAAAAAACTGTGTATAGTTTTAATCTTAAAATTATGATGGTTACCTAACAGCTTCTCTAAAAATTTAAAAAATAGTAACCTTTTTAGGGCAAAAGTTACCTAATGCTACCTAATTAAATATAACACATAAGTAATAAATAAATTATGGATTTTATTAAAAAATATATATAACTGCCTTTACAAGCAGTTTTAGAATACAATTTTCAAATTTCATTGATTCATCAAAAATAAATTTACTATAAACGATGTATTTCCGCATAAATCTTATTTTGTAAAGCCCACCTGTTTACAAAAGCCACTAAATTAATGCGTCCAATTATCAAAAAATTAAACCTAAATCGTTATAATTAATGGTGGAAATAATTAATTAACAGAGTTATTTCATTGTGGGCTGCGTTAAATTAACTGCTCGTGGCATTTTAAACATCAATCCGTTAAAAATTATAATTCTATTGCGATAAATCGGTTTAAAGTATAAGTTGAGGTACTACTATTATAATTTTATATATTTAGGTATATCCGTCATGTTTATTTTAAGCCTTGTCCCACCTTTCACTCGTAATGAAAATTATTTTGGCACCTGCAAAACTAGTACAGTACAGTATCGTGTTGTATTATTGGGTGTTATAATTTGTTAACGACATTTAAAAGTAAAACCGCAATATAATATTTAAAAATACGTTTTTATATTGCAAATTATAAAAAAATATATGAGTAAGATTTAAATGTCAATTTTGGATGGAAATATTTTTATTGTAATTGAAAAAAAGCGTGTTAGTAACATAAAATAACTATTTCGCAGCAATAATGTTGATATTAAAAACACATTAACTTGTCACTTAATTCATATTTATTTGCTACGATTATTATAATAAATCACTATAATTTTAGACACCTACCTAAAATTAAATATAACTTTCTTGTAAAAACCTACTAGATATCTAAAAGGATATTTTTGGTTGGTTGTTTTATTTACATTTATTTTCTAAATATATACACGTTACTTAGCACATAATTTATTTGTAATGTGATGATAATTTATTATATAAGTCTGTTATAAAAAGTCGTGTACTAAAATCAGATAAAGAGTTGTAAAATTGGCGAATGCACCGGGAAAATACTACAAATTAAAACAGTTTGAAATTGCATGAACTAAATACAGGGTGTCCCAATTTTAAGACCCTAAAGTAAAGGTAAATTAGAATTACTTAAAGAATTTTCCATTTTTTCAAATTCGTAAAATTGTTTATGCTCTATCGGACGAGTTTTCTTATATTTTTTGTGTGATATTCTACCATTGAAAAAAGTAAAACAAATTAGGTGCGTGTTGTCGCAAGCGCTGAGTTAAAAGGGGCTCGTCAGATAGAGCAGAAATACTGCGCTCTCATTAGTGACCTTAAAAATTAATATCTCCTGCAATTTTTCGAATGGTAAAGGAAAACTCGTCTTAGAATTTTAAGAGGAATTTACCCATACCCTTGGGGCCGCTAATAACATTTTTATAATATAAAAGAAGTCAATTCTGGAATTAATTGTAAGACAAAATCTTAATAACCCAAGAGCCATTTTATAAATGTATAGGTAACGAATGACTAAAGCTGGACATGAATTTGTTTTTAATTTTCATAATGAAAAACCACAATATTGCGTTAGTGCCATTTTTGGAAATTTAACCCTTATAACTAAAAAACTACTGGTCGAAAAACTGTTTTATCATTTTTGTGCTATTGTTTTCAGTATTTTTATTTTTTTTAGTTCTTAATCCACGCTTTTTTAATTAAAACCTTAATTTCTTACTATTTCAGTATTAAAAAATACCATTATGCTCTATTTACCTTTGGTCCTGTGGCTTTTTTACTATTTTGCGCCATTTAAAATAACTAAAAAACCGGCGAGTTGGACTCGCACACCGAGGGTTCCGTACGCCTAACAGGTATGCAACCCAGTATACACGCTTGGGAGTTTAGAGCCTGACAAAAAAAAATCAAAAATAACATGATTTTTTGCAAGAAACCCCCCTTAATTTATACTTTTTTTATTTGTTAGGATATCAGCCATAATAACATATTCTGTGAACATTTTAACCGGCTACCTATTACATACGCTCCGCGGCATAGGGTCTATCTTCTAGGTACGGAGCCATATAAATTCAAAAAAACCCAGTCAAAAATAAGAAAATATTTTCTGAAATATGGTTTGAAGGGGCAATAAAAGTATTTAAAATAAAAATTATATAACATTTAAAAAAAAATTAATCAAAAAAATCATTCAAACACTACGCAATAAAGTTTGAGGGGTTAGAGGGAACATTTTAGTTTATTAATAATAATAACGTTTATTTTCAAAAAACAACTACAGTTGTATAGAAAAGTAAAAAATGAAAATATGAAAAACATTGAAAAAAATACAAAAAATATAACATTAAAATAAAAACTATAATAAGGAACATATTTGTGTTCTTCTTACCAAACCAAGTCCAAAATTATTTAACCAGATTATTAAACTGAATTATCATCCAAATATTCACCATAGCTATAATAAGCTTTTGAAATTAAGAGTTGTTTAATGGTGTACTTAAAGCTCCTTAAATTTAAAGATCTAATATTTTTATTAAGTTTGTTACAAAATTTTTGTCCTAAAAACAAAATACTTCTTTGAAATAAACTGGTGTTATTTGATTCGTACATAATAAGACCACTTTGGCGAATGTTTGCATTAAAAAAATTAAATTCATTCTTATTATTATGTACAAAAACTAATATTGTTCTTTTATTTATCACTATTTTTTATAAAAATATACAAAAAGAGTTATATTAAAAAAACAATAGCAAATTAAACTAAATATGTATGTAACTTTTAAAATAACCTCCTTTTATGAGACCATAATTTAGGAGTACCCTCTATATTGGGA